TATGTCAATTAACGTAATCAATGAACAAACTCCAAGTTCTGGAGGCTTAACACATTAAAAACTTCCTTCTGTCTCACATGAACTCAGAAATAAATGCTTCTAACCCAAAAGAACAATGAGCCATCACCAAACACATCTGTTGTCAATGGCAACCAACTGGAATTGACAGTGGTTAGGTTGATTTCACAGGTTGGTCATGGCCAATACTTGCTCTGCAATTCTCTTCCATTGAGGATCAACAATTACTTTCTCAGTACCCCTCAAACTTGTCTAATTGTCCCTACCACCACCAAATACTGAAGCATTCCTATTTATTGTAGAAGGATGGGTGAAAACATGTGATCGCCGTTCTTTTGTGTGATGCCGTGCTGACAGGCACCACCAAAAGACACGTGACAGATTCTTCAGAGTAACTGCTGTCCTATAGAAAAGCCCAGCCATTTGCGTCTTAGACTGAGAGTCACAGACGGGTTCCTGAGAGAATCAAGTGCACCATTCATTCAACAGAGTCACCTCCAATATAGGGAGCCTTGAACTTGTGCAGACTAATCAGGAACAAGAGATAAGAGACACCTCAAGCAGATACTGTTTTGAGCTTTAGCTACAACCTAGCTCCAAAATTGGTCCAATTTATCTGAGGGCCTGGCAACAGACAACAGATGCATTCGATATAGTAGTCCAATAGGTTTCTCCTCAGTCTTTCTCTTGGGGACCACAAACTCCAAGGACCTACATGATTTTCAGGTTTGTGTGATAACTGTGCTCAGTGGAACCTCTGGCCTAGGTACAGGTTCTGCCTTCAGTTACCTACTGAGACTCTGATCTCTTGGAGCACACATCCTTTACAGCATACCCAAGAACCCTGCTGGAGCATGGCTGGGTACTCACAGAATCAAGAAAGTCTTAAAGTGGACCTCCATTTGTCTTTTCACTTAGACATCCCCATGCTGTGTTGTGGTCCCTCAGATGCTGATGACAGGGTAAGGAAATGCCAGCAGACTTCTCATATTACATAGAAATGGAATCTTCCAGAAAGACAAGTTCTCTGAGATTGTAAGCTCTGAAATGATGCTAGTCCAGGCTGGTGTGACACTTTTTGTGCCCCGAGTTAAAGCTCAAGGGAAGCATGGCTGCCCAGAGGAGATTTTTGTCAATTTTTAAAATAACCTCCCTGATAGCTGTGAAGTGGATTCGTGTCATAGCTTTGAGCCGTCCTTCCCCTATTGCTGGTGTTCTTGAGCACTTAGTTGCTTATTTCCCATTTGTAGATCTTCTTTGGAGAAACAGATTGTCAAGAACTTGTATAAGTTTTGAATGGGTAATTTTCTTGCTAAGTTTTAGAAACTGAAGAGATGGTTCCATTATCAGGTACATAGCTCAGGAGTAGGTATCAGCAGTGCCACACAATATATACAGTTTTAAAATCTCGGGCAATTTCCCAGCCTTGACTGTATATTAAAATCACCAGTGGGAATTCAAATTCTACCTGCTCAGGACCCATTCCTGACCAATTACATTCTAACCTCTGAGATGGAGACCAAGCTGCAGTCTAGGGCTTTAGGAAGTCCTCGGGGATGGCTTGTTTAATGAAGGTTGTGCTAGGCTAACTAAAGACAGTTCAAGTTTACAAGTAACAAAATGCTATACATTCTTAAACCAAGACAAAAAGAAATGTGGGGGAATGACTCAATTTTTTGTTTATCCTGAGTAACATTTAATTTTTGTCCTTTCTAACTTTGTTAATTTTAGTTTGAGCATAGAGATCTGTTCCTTCTAAGTTCACATCGTCACAGCTTTGACCATGCTCTATTTTGGTAAGCTAACAGTGCTGGGTTGAATAGTGTCTGCACAACATTCATGTCTACTCAGATGCTGGGAATGTGACTTTGGAAACAGAGTGTTAACATATGGAATGAAATTTAGGTAGGCTCATTCTTGATTAGGATAGGATCTATTCTTGCAACTAGTGCTTGTATAAGAGGGAAATTTGGGCACACAGAGGAAAACGCCATGTGAGAACTGAGACAGCACCTCAGAATGATGTGTCCAGAAGCCAAACCCACCAAAGGCGATGAGTGTCGAGAAACTGGGGAGGAAAATCAAACAGGGACTCTGTTGCATATTCAGGAGGAGCTAATCCCATGACAACCTGGAATTTGGACTCCTTGCCTCCAAAACTGGGGGAGAACGGTTATTATTGTTTTAAGTCAGGTGGTTTATACAGTTAAGGTAGCTATAAGAAACTGCTTTAACTTAATGGTTACATTGTAACTTAATAGATAGCTATGACATCTAGGTATGTAGTTTGCCAAGAGATCCCCTTTCTCCCTTCATTTGTCCTCTTGCTTCTTCCCTCCCTTCTTCCTCCTCTCACTTCCTCTTTCTCCCCTCCCCCAATCTGCCTTCCTCCTCCATCCTTTTCTCCATCCTTCCTTTGTCTCTTCCTTCTTCCTTCGTCTCTTCCTTCCTCCTTCCTCCTACCACACTTCCTCTCATTTCCTCCTTCCCCCTTCCTCCTCTTTCACTTCCTCCCTCCACCCCTTCCTCCTTCTTCCCTTCCTCCCCTGGAACTCTCTATGTAGACCAAGCTGGTTCACACTTATAGTGAACCTTCAGCCTCTGCCTCCCAAATGCACGTTAGCACGCCAGACCCAGATGGTCACAAGTCCAAAGTCATTCCTTTCTGTACATTGCTCCTTTCTGGACTTTCTTTAACAAGTGTGTGTCCCTATGCAATTGAGGATGGCACATTTCTGCTCAGAAAGCTAACCTGGAAATCAATGAGCATCTAAACATTTAAACTTTCATAGGGAGCCTCACTTAGTAAAGGAACACCTGAGCCATTCTTGACGGGCCGGTCTAAGGTGGTCAGTAAAACGACAGTTCCCCATCATTGCTTTTTCCTGTGGTGTCACTAAACTCCTTAAGTGTGTGTGTGTGTGTGCATGCGCACGCACGCACGTTCGTTTGTGCATCCATGAGAGAGAGAGAGAGAGAGAGAGAGAGAGAGAGAGAGAGAGAGAGAGAATGAGCGCATGTGTTCATTTCCAGTCTTTGTAGGTTCTGCAGTCTGTTCTGATTTGAAACTCTGTATGTCCAGGTCATCTTTGGGAGACAATAAAGTTGTTACTGTGCCTTGACTTGAACACCTCGAAAAAGAACTGTTGAAGTCTAACTAACTCGGAGATGGGATCTTACTGAGGTGATTACAGTAGGGGTGGTCAAGGTTGGAGATTAAAATGGCTTTGTCATGGAGATTTAACCCCACCTGGCTGGTGTTCCACAAGAGGCAGTTAGGCTCTAGACACTCAAAGGAAAGAACTGTAAGCCATTAGGAGAAGGCAGCTGCCAGCAAGCCTGGGCAAGAGGCCTCATAAGACAGCAACCTACTCATGCTTTGACTTTAAACTACCATCTGAACTTCGAGAAAATAAATTCATTGCTAAGCCACACAGTCTGCGGTGAGTTTGTATTGGAAGCTTTGGGAAGGTGAGGCAGAAGGCACAGGCATGAAGTCTACCAGATGAATACTGGTTTAACCTGATAGGCTGCAGTACCTGCAGGCAGATTGTGTCTACTTCTGTCAGCATGGACATGCCTCTGAGTTTTGGGATTACCACCACTACATGCAGGGACTGTGGGTGATCTCTGTGCTTCTCTATTGTGTTTGGGGTGTTTTTGTGTGTGTGTTTACGTACAGGTTTTGGTTGAGTAGTTTACATTTTTTCATCTCTAGGGAACTTGTTCTACAATAATATTGCCTCTTGTATGGGCGCAGTCTTCTTTATCAGCAGTCAGGCTATGCCATGGTGTAGTAGAGATTTCTTGGCAGGTCTGATGTCCTAGAACTCCTGCTGGGTTTTGCTGTGGTCCCTCTCTTGGAGGCCCATGGGTTTAGTTAACCTAAAAGATGCTGAAGTCCTGTGAGACCAAGTCATTAAGATGGCCAAACAAATGCAACAAACAGACAAACAGAAAAACAAAACTAGCCAAACAAAACCCACTAAGCATAAGAACAAGAGAGAGAGAGAGAGAGAGAGAGAGAGAGAGAGAGAGAGAGAGAGAGAGATATTGTTAACAGGACATGTTGTGTACAGGACTGGCTGAGAGCCTTAGCCACAGCACTTAGTAGCACTTGGCCTGGTAGAAAGAGACATCCTGTTACCTACACAACAGAGGCCAGTACCAACTGAGTGACATCCAACTATATACGATGAATGTTGTTTACTATGTGACCCAAAATCAATTTCAAACTGTAGGGTATATTTTAAATTAAAAAAAAATTAAACAGTGATCCAGAAAAACTAACTTTAAAAATTGTCACTGGACTTACAAGCAAAAGAAATTGAAATGTTTGATTCCATGTAAAGAATCCTATTGTGCCTGTTACAATTGTCTGTCTTGTAAGCCCCTTAGAGGATATTAGGGGTATATTTGGGTCTATATAAAGATCTGGACCATTTGCTAAGAAATGTACTTTTAAGAGAACTACAATGGTGCTAGATTAGGTAGCCCAAACTGGTCTTGAAGTTGCCACCCTGTTGTGTCTGCTTTCTCCTGTGAGCTGGGATAACAGGCATGCATCACCATGCTTAGTAAAACAGTTATCTCCATCAGGTCTGAAAATCTGTTATCCCAAAAGACAACTAACTGAGTGAGGAGGCAGGATGCCAGCACTCTGCCAGCTCTGCATGGGGATGCTGTAATCCTGGAGAGGAGGGAAATAATCAGAACACAGGCTTCATCACAAGTGGTGCACACTCTGGCTACTCAAGGAAGCCACACTTGCCACGCTCCTTTATATTGAAATGAATCAGGGCTGAGATCTCGGAAAGGCCTGGTATACAACAACCCCTTTACCTGCGGGACACGGTCTCTTTGACCTGACCAGCTTTCCCCCACTGCATACCTTTGGAAAGGTGAAGACCAACAAGAATAACCCACCGCAAAAGCAAATTCACTTTACACTTCGGTGTATTTTAAGGACCAAACGCCAAAAGTTCCATTCATTCATGCTTTATTTCAAATCTCAGAATCAGGACAGGAGCTCTTGCACCTCAGTTTAGAATCTCACAGATGACCAGATGACACTGAAAGTAATGCCCATCCTTACAAACCAGAGAGTGCCACTAAACTTGACCCAGGACCGGTGACTGCGAAAATGATTCCGCTTCCGGCTGAGCGACAGTTCCTTCTCTCAAGGTCCCTCATTCTGAATTTGGCAGTGGTGTCAAGCAGGACACTCCGTGATTGCTCTTGAATTCTATTTCTAAACCACAGGCAGATCCACAACGAGCAGATGGAAGTCTACAAGGAAGGTTATTGCCTGCTCTAGGATTGACACGCTTTTAGCAAATGCAGATACCTTTCTACACATCGCTAAGTCAACCCCACCCCAACAGTAACCTCATTTAGAAGAAAAATCTAGAGTATTCATTTGTTGAAAAACCTGAATGTGGTAGAAGGGTGTATATACAATTTACTATACACAAAATACATCTCTTCTGTAAACTGGTTTGTGTTTAGCACACTTCACATATGGAAGTAAGTTAGGTGCCCAGCTATGACATCTGAATAGCTGGCTCACAGGTAAATGTATCCGGGGGAACAAGCACCCCAATATGTTTTAGTGTCTAAATAGAAATTCAGTGTAAAAAAGTTAAAAACAAAACAGGACTCATTCTTGAATAGCAATGGATACGTGGATTATAACCATGACTATTCATTCCTGACAAAGCTCTACCCTAAGACCACTGATGCCATGTTCCCAGTGCCCGCCTGAGTCTCCACCATGGTTTCTTCTGCACTTGGAAAGTTCTAGAAGACTCAGAAACTATCCAAAGTCTGAGATTCTTCCCATGTTGATTATCTTGATGCTGAAATGGAAATAAAACATAATTTTAGAAACTGGCTTTGAGTTACAAAGGAAAGCAAGAATGCAGACTCCTAAAATGGTTCTGTCAGGAGCCTGAGAACTACAGAAAACATAGATTTATTCAAGAGGCAGGTGGGTGGGCCTTGTGTGCATCATTTCATCATTACATCTCAGTTTAATTTCTGACATTGATTTTTTAAAAAAATATATTTATAGGAGTTTATTATAAAACAATGTTTTACAATATTAGCACAGATAAAAAAAATCTCTCAATTCCATAACCCTCAATGCACATGTGAATATCTGGAGCTGATTATATTTACTACATTTAACAACATCTAATTTTATACCCTGTACATCTAGATGTAATCATGGTACATGTGTGTATCCACACATATCTACATACACACATTATCTAATCACATATATATAGTTGGATTCCATGTAATTAAAAGCATGTTATATAACCTATATACTTATTTAGATTTTCTACTTAATATATTAGAATTACCTGTGTTTTAGACACTAAAAAAAAAATAGTCCTATAAATTCACTTATATGAAAGCATGGAACTTACTTCAAGCAGTGTCAACTTCAGTTGTCAGTATCGAGACGGGCTGGAAACAAAGACAAAACAGAGAACTGTAGCACTGAGGGCTGGGCTGAGGCTCACGTCATTGTGCTGAGAACCAGGATGTGACTATAGATAGTCACAGCTGAATACAGACCAATCCCCAGGGAGTTTACCAAGGAAAGAGAATGCTAGAAAAAGCAGGCTGTTCTATCTATCCGTACTGCATTTGAACAATGTGGAGGATACCCTGAGGCAAGCTGAGACATGCTGTGGTTAAAAGAAGATGTGTGTGGTAAGCATCACATCAGAGTGTGCAGTACATCAGAGTAAGAGAGACCAGATGGCGGGCAGCTAACTGGCCACAAATGGCTCCCTGAAACTTGACTGTAGGGTCAGGAGGCAGAAACCAATAGAAGTTCTGCAGGGATCTTTCTGGATACCATGTGTGTGAGCCAAGATGTGTATGTATCCTGTAAGTAGTTTCTGATTAACAGCAACACTAACCCCACCATCCTCTCACACTTCGTTAAGACCATGACCTTGACCACCATAAAGAATGTGTGCAGAGGGAGATAGGAGAATTCCATCTGGAGGGGCCACCCAGATCACTGTACAGCAGAAAGACCTCCAGGTACCTTCTATAAAACAGGCACACACAGAGCAGTGCAGGCAGAGACACTGTGGCCACACTAGCACTTCCCTAGGATCAAATGTGTTTTCTCCTTTAGGTAGGAGAAATATGGGGAAGGAGGGCCCTTTGCGCTTCTCCCAAAACATCCATAAGCAGATTGCACAAAAAGTACCCTCCACAGTCAATGACAAGGCATAAGTTTGAAGACATATTTCATAGAAACAGTACAGTGTATTTTCCCCAATGTGGTTTGGTAACATTAGATGGGAAAACATCAAGCAGTGGCTAATGCCCATAATCCAGTACTTGGGAAACTGACACAGGAGGATTGCCATGAGTGTCAGGCCAGAGCAGGGAACAGAACGAACTGGTACAGAAAGGATACAAATGATGCCATCTCCAGTTGAGTGGACCTAATTCTTCCTATGATGGCAACGTGATGGGATTCAGCATCAGCACGAAAACACACCTCAGATGTGTCTGCATGGATTTCTGAGGTTAGATTAATTGAAGTGGAAGACCCACCTCAAATGTGAGTGGTTCCTTCCTACAGTGTAGGGCTCCCAAACTAAATAAAAAGGAGAAAGCAAACCAAACACTAACATTCATGTTGTCTGCTTCCTCAATGTGGATACAGTGTGATCAGAAGTCTCACGTTCCTGTCACCATGACGTCCTGCCATCACTGACTATACCTTGGAACTGTGAGACAAAATACATCTTTCCTTCTCTAAGATACTTTGGCCAGGTATTTTGTTACAGCAAATACACTTTCTTAGAGGAAACTACCTCTCCTTGGTGCAGACTGTGTGGGAGGCAGAATGAACCCTATGAAGAACGTTCCAGTCTTCATGGCTTAGCGGGGGAGCCCACTGCTTTTTTTTCTTAGGCAAAAGCAAATGACAGGTCCTATGACAAACTAGAAGCTGAGACTGTATGTGTAGGTGCATTGCATAGCAAATATAAAAGGGGGCTATATTAAATTTGTTTATGAAGTTCAGTTTACCACTAACAATATGCTTCTTACTTATGAACACTTTGCTCTGCCCAACTCCTGATGAGATACTGACCCTACCTTGGTTAAGTGTCAGTGAGTGCTTTGCTTGTGACAAAGCTTTTCCTAAAGGGCCAAGCCCCTTCAGGAAGCACACACACCTAGCTTTGTCCTGGTTACAGACAGACAGCATGTCAATGCTTAATCCATGGCTCTGTGGGTAATAAAGGGAGGCTCAGTGGAACTGGATTGGCTGGCAGGCTAGGGATGGATCTTTACTTATTTACTTAACGTTTGGCTCACCTTTAGATTCTGTCAGAATCATCCAGGGAATCAGAACGTCCCCATTGTCATGAACTACAAACCCTCAAAGAAGGGACTGCACTAAATTGAACATTTGACCCTCAGGAGCTCATTTTACCCTCACAACTTCCAGGCAAACAGGGTTCTTGTTGACATCCTCTGAAGATGTGGATACTGGGCTTAAGAACATCATTAGCTTTCCACAATGAAGCAGACAAAGCGGAGTGAAGTTTTACTCCAATCTAGACCCCAGAGTCTTCTGACAGAAGTTGGGGGTCTTATTGAGGCTGAAGTGACTGTCCCTAGGGCTTCTGAGGTGTGACTCTCTCATCTTCAAAACATAAGCAAGCCTTTCTAATCATCAACTGACTTTGAGTTCTTTTTCTGCCCAGGAGAGCAGGCTCCTCAGGCGACCCACCAGATTCCCAGAGGACAGCAACCACTCAGGAAAGAAAGATGGTAGGTCTTGAGTGTAAGTGTCACTGAGAAATTGGCTTCTGTGACACAGGATGGGCCCTGCCATCTTTGGGACTTAACGATATGGCACAATCAAAACAAAGCAAGCAAGACCTTCAACCTGTCCTTGGAGCTATCCTGTGGAATGCAGAAAGCTCAAAGGAATCTGGATGTCCTATGGAGCACTGAGGAATGACTTCAAGCACTAACACAGTCCTGGCTTCACCTCTCACATGATGTGAAATCCTGTGCCCTTTCCAAAGACACACCTTCAAGGCAAGGTGTGTGCAAGGATTGTGCAAGCAGAGTCATCAGCAAACCACCCTGACACTTTAGGCATTTAAAGCTGCTGGAACTTTCTATCTGTTTTGAACATCTGCATTCATAGCCCCAGATGAATTGTTCAATGAGTGGCTCCGGTTTTTCCTGTTCTCTATCACAATCACCTCCTTCTCCTCTGCAGGAAACCAAACCGAAGCTTCAGCAAGGCTTCCTGCAATCCATTTATACAGACATGAACTGTTATTCAGGAGAACCAACAGCCCAGAGAACCAAGTGTTTTGCCCTAGAAGCAGTGTGCCTGTGGGACTGAGTGGGGTCTTAGTTACTTCATCTTTGATGCTTAAAGAGGACACCACCTCTCCTTTACACCCAAGGGCTCAGGCCAGGGCATGGCAGGATGGCTCCCAGGAAGAGAACTGGTGATTTCCTCGCAGACATGTCCAAACTTCCTCCCCTCAGGGTCCCAGGTGAGCTAAGGACGCAGCCCAACACAAAGCTGTAAACTTACTGAACGTATAACGAGACTTACTGTTCTGCTTTACAGCTTTTGTTTGTAACTTGTTGCCTGACTGCTGAGTGTGAACTTTGTACATAAAGATCGTGTCAGTATTAAAAGCTGGACACACCCGCTGACTTTGACACCATTTCTAAGTGGCAAAGTGTCCACAGATGTATAGATGTACTAAAAGGTTCCCAGTTCTCAAAGACAATCCTACCACTGGCAAACTAAGCCCTCTCTTCTTGCTGGAAACATTTTGTGGCTTCGGCACACTCTGCCAGGCCTACCAGAGATTTTACTCCCACTGCTTCTTGCACTACACCACCATACCCTCTTCTAAGATGGGCTTGTCACCAGCTGTGGGGCAGTCAACAGATACTTCTTCCACTAGAGCCAAACTACTCCACCTGAGGCTTAAGCAGATCCCACACCTGAGGGAGGTAAGGTACCAAGGCTGCATCTGGCCCACGAGGGTGACTTCTAACAGGCCACATTTGCTCCAGAGCTCCCCACTGCTGAGATGAGGCCTATGGCAGATCCTCCTGAACTTCTCCTCCTTCCTTTCACAACTACAGATTCTCATAAACATCTTGCACCCCAATTTCCATCTCAGCATCTCTGCCAGAGACCCAACAGGCCACACCCTTGCACCCAAGCAGGCCTCTCTTCAGCACCCTCCATGCAACCTCAACGAAATGTCCTGCTTGAGAGTGGGAATTTGGAAACATCCCACTAAGGAGGCCAGCACCAGACCAGACGTCAACTTTACACACTCACCAAGTCCTCAGAGCTCACCTCTGACCTGGAACATCTCAGTTGAGAAATGGGAGACTCTCCAAGCTTGCCGTGCCAGGAAGAGGGAGGGCGGTATAAAATGCAAGCCATTAGCACTGTGTGCATGCTCTGGACAAAACTTCGGAAACTGATACTTGTTTTGAAGTAACCTCACAACACAGCACTCTGGCAGCCAAGTTCAGCAAATTATCAGAAAAAAGAAGTCTTTCTCTCCCACTTAAGAACCTTACTGCCCCTCACCAGCATCACCAGATGCTCTGACTTGTGCATCTACACAGTTCCAACTTCATCAAAAAAGATTCTGGTCACCAGGATGGGGGAACCAGAAAGCAGGGGATGGGGGTGGTCATGGGGTGGTGGTACATGCTTTGGGAATGTGATTAGGGTATGAAACACCAAAGAATTCACAGACCACCACAATGTGAAGACACAAGAAAAAAAGGAGATGTCCTGTATAACATCTTTTCTTATCAGGCACTGTATCTAGGGGCACCTTGATCTCCCATTCCCCAGCCTATAGAACCATAAGGAAGAAGTTTCTGTTCTTTGTAAGCTACACCGCTTATCGTGTTTTGTTAGAGCAGCTCAGACATTAAAACGATACCTCTCCCTGTATAGGACAATTGAAACAAGGGGATCTTAAGCTTTTAGAATGCACCAAGTTGTAAGTTGAGGATGGAGGAACCCTTATTCTTCTGAAAGAAGAGATTTCACTAACCTTCTTGTTCTCTTCCTCTTGAAACCTGAAGCTGATGTTTCTAGGCAACACTGCTTAAGATCAGGATGTCCCTGAGTAGAAGGACAAGTCTTATGGGGAAGTGTCAGGTAAGGAGCCCACACTGGGGACCTCCCTGAATGTGGTCTCTATTCTTTTAAAGGAATAAGCCCCATGTGGAACATGGGGCTTCTGTGACAAGAATGATTTCCCCTGCACCAATGTTCGAGTCACTGCTTTGCAACATCCCCTGGGGAGCTGACCATTGGTTGACCATGGTAAACTCTGTAGACATGGGGAAGATACACTTCTCGGCAGAAAGGTGGCTCCTGGTGGACATGTCTAAAATTTTAGTGGAGTACAAGAGAATTCACTTGGCAGGTAATACTCAAAGTTCTCTGGCAAATCCAGACCCACAGGAAGTCCCTTAACTCCACAGACCATAAAAGCATGAGAATTTTGGAGGAAAAGGTTGAGTTCTTTTTCTGGTTGATTATAGTTAATTTGCTAGAGAGAAGGAAAGAAGGAAGAAAAGGAGGGAGGGATGCAGAGGAGGTCTTCAAATCACTGCTTTGTGACTTGGGGTAGAGGAAGGCTCAGTAAAGGTATACATGCATGGATCCCATTAGGATCTAGAGTCGCTCATAGCATTTAAAGATGACATTCAGTCTAGATACTACTCAGTTCCATTGCCGAGAAATCCTCTGAAGATTTCTCCATCCAGCATGGTGGAATGCTGTGCCGAGCATGATGGCTGGAGATAGTCAGCGACAGTGCGGTGTCATGCAGAGAGAAGTGAAGGGCACCAAGAGCATGCAGGAGACTCAGTGTCAGGTCTAGCAGAGACAAAAGGCTCACCACAGGCTCGGCATGCACTTCAGGCTTTGTTTTACCTTGTCATAACAGGATTGTGAACACCATATAAATGATCTTTATGATAACCATTACTACCGTTTTCCAAACTGCAACAAAAATAAATACACCAGAAACATCAAGTTACCCCTAGGATGAAATGTTTACATTACAGATCACAAAGACAATGTAAAGGTTAGGAAACATGCGTCCGTCATGCGTTAGGTCTGCCAAGAAGGTTTGAGAGTGTATTATATATACGTCCTCCCTCTTTCAAAACCACAGAAGGAAACAGTGGCTTTATGGATCAATACATTTAGTATGAAAAGTGTTCATTCACTCAACGAGTGGTTTGTAAGCATCTTCTATGGACCAACCCTCTTTCTAAGAGGTGTCATGATTCATCTTTACTCAGATTTATCTACTGTTCTTTTCTCATATCATCAATTTAACTAAAGTTCTGCCATGTAATAGAAACCTCCCCCATTCCATCTGTGAAGATAGTTTAAAAAAAAAAAAGGCTTACTTTTTCATGGGTACAGTCTCAACACTATAAAAATACAAAAGGGGGAGACAGGGTTATTTACTTGTTGTGTCGTCACTATTAAGGCTCTTGATCTACCCCCTCCCAGTGTTTTCACTGCAGTGCCTGCTGACAGTTGGAACTGCAGAAGACAATGAGGATAGAGAAGTCAAAAGGAAGCATGCATGTTCACCAGACACAGAGCAAAGGCGGGCGGCAGAACGGGCGGAAAGGAGCAACAACAGTTATCATAAAGTGAAATGCCACATCCCCGAGACAGACGAGCTGAAACAAGAAGGACATGGGTTAAAGAAGCTGAGATTAAAAGAAGAAAAAAGTCAGAATCGTAAGATCGGTTAAAAGCAAACAGAACCAAGAACAGCAACAACAGTAACAGAAACGATGGAAAACGGACAGCCCAGTGCTTAAGCAGACACCAAGTTTTCCTTTGAGAACTCGGCTTGGGTGGCTGTCTGAGGACAGTGCTGCAGAGAAACCCCACACTCACTCGTCATATACGTCCTCTGAATCCATCCTGCGGTAGTACTTGGCCAGCTTGATAGCAATGATTACAGCGGGAAGTAAGAGCACCGTGGCTTTCCCTATGCCGAACCAGAACAGATTCTGAGGAGAAAAATAACAACAACAAAATCAGTAGAATTAAATGCTTGAGGTTTGGTAATAGGAAAGAACATTTGTTAGGGGGAGAATTCTTTGTGTGATTTTTGAAGTTCTTATTTTGCTCTCAAAATCAATTGTGAACCTAACAGGAGTCAGCCCCCAGGTAGAGTGCAATGTATTAATGTAACCCAGTTATTCTTTTTGAAAGATGAGCAGATCCTAGGCTGGTGTTTATTTTGTCAAAGAGGTATAGAAGCATCTAGTGGTGAAACTAAGGGTTGGTCTAAGACTGTCAAAAAGCATATAATCACACACCACACAGGGTACTGTTGAGATTTGGTCTTTTGCTACATATTACAATGCTGAATACTGGCTCCCCAGGGTCTAACTGCCCTTAGTGACAAGGAGCTCCTCATGTACATCAAGTGATGCTATGCAACATTGCTCCTTAGTTTAAAGCTGTTGGTTGAATAGATGCCTACAGCCTATAGGTGGGCAGAAGAGAGGAAGGTGGAGCTTTGGTTCCTGAGCTAGGGATCAGAGGCAGAGACAAGAAGAGAGGGAGAAGAAGATGCCATGGGGTAAGGAACTGTGAGAACTGGCCATGATGGCTAGCCAGTTGGAGGAAGAGCAGCCCAGGTGGAACATGGCAAGTCATATCTCAGGGTTATTGATAGGGAAGTAGATACTAATAGTTAAGAGGGTAGCTATCTGGCCAGCTCTGATGTTGATCAAGGCTTATTATAAATACAAAAATTTTATGTCTTTTAACTGGGAACAAAATGATCTAAGGTAGGGTAGAAACCCCCAACTGAGATCAAATATTTACTACGACAGCATACTTTTGTTGGACAGGCTGTATAATCAAAATGGTTAAAGAGAGTACATTTTAGGGGGACCCTGGTGTGTGCTGAATGCCACTATGTCCTCTTAGCTGAACTGTTAAAGGATGAGGATGCCACTGTCTTAAGTATTCAAAAGATGTAGAACAAAATCAGAAAAGTCAACTAGCCGTGGTAACATTGAACTACACGAAAAGGCACCTGAACTTAAGTGTGCTGCTTGACCACAGACTAAAATTTAACCATGTTTGCTCGAAAAGCAATGTTAACATTAAAAACAACAACAACAAAAACCCTTGTTCCCAATATTTATAAGTACACTTCATCTTACACTATGCCTTCTTGAAAGTGGGAGGTGGGAGGAGTTAGGGGAAAGGCCAATTGAAACTGAAGCTGTGTGAAAAAGCCACAAGAAAACCTAGTATTTGTGTGGTCATTCAAATTCAAATTTCAAAAAATTAAGAGTTTGTACCTTACATAAGTAGATAAAGCTACTCTCAAAACTTATAAATTATTAATGAATTTCCAATGCCAGAACTGGGCTATCCCGCTCTGAGCTGTTAGTCAGAGAGGCTCCTGAGACCTCCAAAACAATACTGGTAATTGTCATTGCTGTTGTGAGCAAACCAGACTGAATGGTTAAGGCTTTATGACTGACTCTTCCTATAAGACATGGAGAAGCCATGCTGGAACTGGAAGCTTCCAGAAGCTTCGTCACTGCTGACTACCCCTACAAGTCGCAGAAGGTGCCGTGCAGGCTGCCGTGACTTCTGTCTGCAGCACTATCTGCAGGCCAGGGGAGATGTGCCCATAGGTGTAGTAGTGTGACTCTGTGATGGGGGTAACCAACCTACTTCTAACTGGATTTTGAAGTCTGCTCCACAGGAGATAACTCCTATCTGATACTAGTTATTTAGTTAAAGACTATGCCTAGGAGGTTGTAGGCCTTAATGAGGAAGCTACTTCTGTAGCTTTGCTGAATCAACATGATGTACCCATACAATTACCTTCCAAATAATTACATTTATGCTATTGGTTGGCGCTGCTGTTGGGTTTAGTCAGAGAGGCTTCTTTTTAGAGTGAACAATGGTAACTGCAGATGATCATAATTGATCAAAATCACATTGTGACTTTTGAATATCTGACCATAAGTGCAGTGTCTACATCACCCCAGAAAGGCTCTGGAGATATCAGAGGAAGTGGGTACAAAGAATAGAAGAGCTAGTGTTGTGTGGAAGACTGTCTTCCTTGCATGACATGGCTGTTACACTCTTGAACAAAGAGCAGCTGTGGTTCCCTGCACAGGACCTGCACAAGGCTGGATCCATCAATGTCCTGTCACAAAGATAGTAGGGCTCCTGAAGCCCAGGCCTCCCTGGGAGTTTATAGGCAGTTAGTGGTTGATGGGGAAAGAAAAATAATTCTTTTGTGGTATATCACTGGTAAGGGGACTCACACTCCTCTAAATGACCCTTCAGCCATGTTTCTGTAAATAATTCTAATGAAGACCATTAGGTTAAGAAAAACTAGTCTGGAAAAAGGATCAAAGGGTTCGAGACAAGGGAAGATGATGATGGCATCCCTCCAGCCCCTAATATTCAGAAAAATAGCTTTATAAAGCTGTAAAACTCTCAGAACAAGGTTGAAATCGTAGAAAACTACCAATAACACAATATGGGGTGGGGGGGAGTGGTTTGCTGGGAGAACATGTTTGCTTAATATGTCTTCTCTTTTTGAAAGATGAAGTTCTTACCAGAGGGTCAGCAACATAGCCACACAGAATGCCATTAACAGCAGAGTCCATTGCGGTGGTCATGGGTTTGCAGGATGTCATCTTCTCTGTGACCTGTGGGACAGGGAAACACAGGCAAATGTTCACTGAGCCAGGCTCATAAAAAAATCATGCCATAAGTCGGGACCCCTGGCTGGGTTCACAAGAGCATCTCCAATGAGGGCTGACAGCTGCTGAGCACTGAGGAGTTCTACAGCTGGTACAATTACATACATCTATAGCAAACCCCTTAGCCCCTGTGAGCCCCAGTTTTCCTCATTTGTTGTCTGGATTACTAAGATCCATCCTACAGAACATCTGGGAGAACCAAAGAACATGCGCTCCCAGCCAAGGGCTGCAGTGGACTGTTATCTGATGAAGGAATGGACAACAAATATAAGATGCCATACAGCAAGCAAAGGTGAGCAAAGGGCTGTGGGGATTGGAGGGTGGGGTGCTCGCCCTCATGGGGCAGCTGTCCCATCCTGGTTGCCCACAACCTCTCAACACACGTAACCAAATCCTCTCAATGCTGGCAAGTATAAGAAGTCTTGGCACTACAGAACTCCACTTGGCTGCTTTGGTCTCCCACAGCATCAAGCTGAGCTCCGTGCACACCCCACCCCCAAGCTCACAATATGTCAATTCACCATAACAACCTTTATGTCACTCCCCGAGTCTACTCAAAAAAGTTCTAGAACACACCATGGGACCTGAAGGAGTGGCAGAGAAATGGGAATCCAGCATGAGCTGATTTGGGGTATGTGCATAGTACAGTAAACTGTGTTCTCAGAGTGTCCATTTAAGGAAAACCCTTACGTACCTTCTTATGCCTATGAATAACTGGACATATATATATATAATTAAAGTCACACACACCATGGGAAAGGATGTGTGATGTAAAGGAAGACTTATATAACCCATGCCTTTAATTCAAAGAGAAAACCACCCAAGTCCTACCCCAGTCCCACCCCTAGCAACTAGCTTTTCCTTTTGAGGACCCCATATGAGGAAGCCTTAACCACTGACCTTGAGGCTACCTCAAGACAGCCTGCTGCTTCCTTTACCTTTGAATAAAATCCTTGCTGCTTTGCTATTCTCTTCCTCAGGTTCTCTGGATGAGATGTGGGGGACCTGGAACACCCGGTCCAGACAGGCACTTTTATCTATCTCCAGTTGAAATGACCAGGATTTTAATATCCTTCAGAATTTATACATGGACATGACTTTCCTGAGATGTGGCACTCTTTATGCTCATAAAAGACAATGCTACTTACGGCGTACAAGACCCACTGCAGATAATGTTCAAAGTAGCCTATTATTGTTCTCCCAAACTTCTTCGTCTCCTAGAAAGAAATCAAAGATTAGGACTATTAGTAAAAGGACTATAGCAGAGGTTCTCAACCTGTGGATTGCATATCAGATATCCTGCATATCAGATATTTATATTACAACTCATAACAATAGCAAAATTACAGTTATGAAATAGCAATGAAGTAATTTTATGACTAAGGGTCACAATAATATGAGGAACTGGGTTAAAGGTGTTTAGTTTCAGACCTGGGGACAAGGGACTGAGGTGCATATCTTACATACCAAAGCAGACCTGGCCTCCAGATTCTCCCGGCATCCCTCAGTCCCTACCTGACATACCCTGTTCACAACCCTAAACTCTCCTGCCCACAAGCCTGAACTTTGCAGCCCAGGGGCTGGGCTGTCCTTCCCCCAGATGCTCTTTCCTATATAATCCAGAAATTTTGGTCTCCTCTCTCTCTTTCTCTCCTTTCTTCTCCTTCCTTTTGTTCTCTGCGTGCACCCCATTCTCTCTTTCTCTTCTCCCTCCCCCATCCATCCCCATGGTGACTTCCCTGGCCTTGTGGCCAGTGAACTCACATGAGAACAGCTTCCCAATAAACCTGTATTTAATATAATCTAATCTGGCTTGAACTGGCTGATTTCACCAGCAGAAAAAGAACTTATCAAAAGCAGTGTTAGGAAAGTTGAGAACCATTGGATTAGAGTATACTTAGTGAGTATAGCGACTTTATCCTGTAATACACTCACAGGGCACTTTATTTATCTACACATTTGTTTAAGAAAAGAATACTCACCCCAATAACAATGGAGGAAATGTTATTGGTGAGGAAACTCTGAGCAGAATCCAAGGAGGCAAGGATCTTCTTCACTTTCTCCTGGAAAACAAAATAATTGGAATGGAAACAAGAGATTTAATTAGGCAGTTTTCAAATTAATTAGAGTTCTGCTGGAAAGGCCAACTCCAGGATTCTCACTCCTCTTGATCAAAATCTCAGGGCCTTGGATTCCTCTCTATAAAACAGAGTGGCACTGTCATATAATCCATGCAAGCTGCTTGTGTACATATCTAGTACCAGGTACCTGTCCCGTCAGTAGCTGAGATACTGTGACACATCTGTGTGAGTTAACTATAACAGAACAGGGGCCTACACATGTTTGTGGTAGACATAAATCTACCCCTCTCCCATATATTTACCTCCTTCCTTCCTTCCTTCCTTCCTTCCTTCCTTCCTTCCTTCCTTCC